CAATCTCACTGGAACCATCCCACCTTGGATAGGAAACTTTTCTTCTTTGAGGATTCTTAGTCTTGGGAGAAACAATTTTCATGGAAGCATACCAAATGAGCTCGGGCATATAACAGGCATGGTGGAATTCTCAGTTGAGCTGAATAATATGTCTGGTACGATCCCTTCCACAATCTATAATATTTCTTCCATATACAATTTTAGTGTTGCTAACAACCAGTTGCATGGAGAGCTACCACCAAATCTCGGCACTATGCTTCCTAATCTCGTACAACTCTACTATGCTAGTAACAAATTCAGAGGAAATATTCCTATCTCATTGTCAAATGCTTCTAGACTTCAGGTGCTTGAACTTTCTCAAAATGGCCTCTCTGGGATGGTCCCTGGTGAAAGTCTAGGAAGCTTGCGAAGCTTAGTTTATCTAAACATTGGCAGCAATCAACTAGGAAATAGAAAAGTTGGTGACTTGAGTTTCCTCGATTTCTTAGCTAATTGCACTAGTTTGAAGACTTTGGCTATTGACAGTAATGATTTTGGAGGAGGAATCCCGGGATCCATAGCCAACCTTTCGGACCAACTTAATTATTTTGCACTGGGGGAAAATTTTATACATGGAAAGCTCCCTAAGGGAATTGGAAACCTTATAAACTTGACGACTCTAGCATTAGAATACAACAATTTGGGTGGCAATGTCCCACATGAAATTGGGAAGTTAGAGAAGTTAGAGGAACTGTATTTGAGTGCTAACCAATTTTTTGGGTCAATTCCGTCTTCCCTTGGCAACTTGACTTCATTGTTATACCTCTACATGGGGCTTAACAGGTTTGAGGGCAGTATACCTCCAAGTCTTGGAAATTACCAAAACCTATTAGATCTTTCCCTTGCCAGTAACAACCTTATGGGCACCATACCTAAAAAGCTTATGGAGCTTTCAACCCTTTCAATTTCTTTAGACCTGTCTGACAATTATTTGACTGGTACGCTGCCCCTTGAGGTAGGTGATTTAGTGCATCTAACGGAGCTAAATGTATCAAGAAACAATTTATCTGGTGAAATCCCAAGCAGCCTCGGCGGTTGTGCTAGTTTGGAGCGCTTGTATTTGCAAGGTAATAAGTTTGAAGGAACAATTCCTCAATCTCTTAAAGATTTAAAAGCCTTGGAAAAACTTGATCTTTCAAGCAACAACTTGTCTGGGCAGATTCCTGAATTCATAAGCAAGCTTGGTGTTCTCAAGTATCTCAATCTTTCGTATAATGATTTTGAGGGCGAGTTGCCTAAAGAAGGTATTTTTACAAATGCAAGTGGTGTCTCTATTCTTGGAAATCATAGGCTCTGTGGTGGCAACCCACAATTACATTTACCTCCATGCTCCCCAAAAAAACCCCACTCATCTCGAGGATTACATTCCCCAAAAGTAGTCATCCCCATAGCATGTGTACTTGGAATCATAATTGCTTTATCTTGCTTCTTTGGTGCTTGTTCAATGCTCAAAAAGTCAAGAGATAGACTTGCAACTTCACGTTCTTATAAGGATTGGAAATTAGGTGTCTCCTACTCACAACTCGTTGAATCAACTAACGGGTTCTCTGTGGATAATCTTATTGGTTTGGGAAGTTTTGGTTCTGTTTATAAAGGGGTAATTCCTAGTGATGGAACAGTAGTTGCTGTTAAGGTATTAAACCTTCAACAATAAGGAGCTTCCAAGAGTTTCATAGACGACTGCAAAGCTTTAAGGAGTATAAGGCACCGTAATCTTCTCAAGATCATAACTGCATGCTCGAGCATTGATAACCAGGGCAAGGACTTCAAAAGTCTAGTTTTTTAGTACATGGCAAATGGAAGTCTAGACTTAATGTTGTATCCAAGATATGAGGAGGAATCTCCAAGTAAAAGAATGAGTTTTATGCAAAGATTGAACATTGCCATTGATGTTGCTTCTGCGTTAGATTATCTCCACCACCATTGTGAAACGCCCATTATTCATTGTGATTTAAAGCCGAGCAACGTACTTCTTGATGAAGATATGGTAGCTCATGTTGGGGATTTTGGTTTAGCAAGGTTCCTCTTTGAAACATCAGATGTTCCCTCATTCAGTAAAACAATGTCATCTCAGCTAAAGGGTTCTATAGGCTACATTCCTCCAGGTATGAGTTTCTATCATTCTAACTTCCTTTTTATGTTCTCAGTAAATTATCACTAAAGATCAACTAATTAATCTCTATTTATGAAAAAAATACATTACTGCCTCTTTTTTTCTTCGAAAATAAGTAGCATATAAATCTAAAGAAGATATCGTTCTAATAGTCAATTGCATACGACATATTGTATGTATGTCCTGGCAGAGTATGGCACAGGAGGCCAAGTTTCAATACTTGGAGATGTTTACAGCTATGGGATACTATTGCTGGAAATGTTCACAAGAAAAAGACCTACCGATGACATGTTTAAAGGCGGTCTAAGCATTTACCAATTTGTAGCCATGGCTTTGCCTGACCATGTCATGGACATTGTTGACCATTCAATTATCGTCGACCTTGAAACAGATGGTGAAGTCAACAATGACATAGTGCAAGAACGAACTCCATCCAGACGTAACAATGGTGGCTCGGTGAAAGCAATGAAATTAAAGGAATGCTTGGTTTTAGTGATGCATATAGGACTCTCTTGTTGTGCAATGTCACCAAGGGAGCGGATGTTGATGGACACGATTGTCAGAAAAATGAGTGCAATCAGAGACTCGTACCTCAAAATTTAAGAAGACTTGAGAAGGACAAAGCATGCTGCCCAAAGAAGAAAGGACATGATCACTCATCAATAATATTTTCCACTCTCTAGTCACCAAAATTTTCTTTCTATTTTTGTTTTCTTTCTCTTGCTATCGCTTTGAATTTTGTCTCGTTGATGTTTGTGGTTTGTTTTACTTATATGACTTGAAGCTTTCGAATTTTAGTTTGTGTGGTGCTTTTTAGAATTTTAATGATTAGTGGTTTTTGTTGGATAAATTTTTTTTATGTTCTTTGTTGAATGGCTAACTCTGCAAAAAATAGTCACAAACTGCTATCAGCTTTGATAGAATTTGCAAATGGTGTTAGGAGTGTGAGAGAGAAGGTGGATAGTAAGAAGCAGAAAGTTACGTGATGGTGATAGCTTAACATTAAGGTTTAGTGCAAACATGGTTCTAAAATGCGCTAGCCGCTAGTTGGATGGCAGGTTGGAGCCTAGCACCTAAGCGACTAGGCAGATTTAAGTTAATTTATTATATATTATATAAATAAGTGCCAACTATGTAGTATAAAAGTATTAGTTAACTAATGCATCATCTCTTTATTAATTAAAATACTAAATAACATAACTTAAATGGACAACAACTACAAAAAATAAGCAAAATACAAGAAGTAAAATACATATTAACATAAGATAATAACTAATACTTAAACCCTTGAAAATGGATAAGCATATTTAACACCAGACTCTCGATTCCACGATTACAATAACTCTTGGGTATGAATATTATATTAATATTCAGAAAATGGATTTAAACTGAAGTAAAGAAAAGTTAGAAAACCAATTAACAGGAAGAAAGGAAAAGACTTCGGACTCTTCACAGTTAGCGATAAAGAAGACGAAGCAATACCAACTCGACCTTCTCCTTATATAAGTCAAATCTCTTATTCCAATCTCCTATTTTTGGATCAGGTCCTCCGATCTGCTAAAAGGCTCTTCAATTTATTCAATTAGTCATCCATGTGTTTGGACACCGGTGATGTTGCCATGCAGAGACAGTGAGTTGTGACAGAGCCAGAGAGTTTCAGGTAATGCCCGCCCAGGCCGCTCAGCGCTTGCCTAGGCCACCCAGATACCCGCCTAGGCCAACCAACGACCGCCTAATTCTTTTCCCGATTTTTCTTCCAATTATGGTTAAATCGCGGCGGCCACCCACTACTTAGGCCAATTTTTAGAACATTGGTGCAAAAGGTTTGGAGTGAAGGGGACGCTCAAGTTAGGAGCATTTTTTCGTTGTAGTTGAAGTTCTAGGATTGATTTTCCACCCCATAAAATCGTTTTTGTATAAAACAAAACAATAAATTTAATATGAAAATTGCTAACATTTCTTACCATATGTTTTATTAGAAAAGAAAATAATGATTTTTTCTGAAGTATCAATAACAATTCTCAAAATATTTAGCATTGTCATAGTAAATTTGCATATAATATCCTTATTATATATGTACATATGTATTTTAAAAAGTTTTGTTTTTTTATACACGTATTAATTATTCGTTAGATTGTATGTTTTTTAAAACTCCAATGTACAATACAAATTTTTTTCACGTTTAAAACACGTTATTTTCACATGTCTTTCAATAATGCATATAAAATTCACATATTTTACCCATATTTTTAACATATTATCAATTAAATAAATATTAAAATTTAAAAAAAAAGGCCGAAATTTTCAGAGTATTATTTTGGTAAAGTTATACACGTGCTTCACATACTATACCTTTTACTAATTATGCTTAACTTTTGACCTTCTTTTTATTTTTACCACTTTAACTTTAATTTTGAGTCCTATTTAAACGTGCCAACTTACCCTCCCACCACAAAAATAAAAAATTATAAGACTATTGAAAAATGCCCCCACCAACTTATTTTTATCCAAAAAAATCTAATGAACGTTTTTTTAATCATAAGGACAATTACAAATTTTATAAAGAAATAGCTTTAACTTATTTACGATATAATTATCGCACTCAAACTAAAATCATTTACGATACCATCATCAGCGCTCTTTTGTTTTTATCATTCTTATTTATAGTAATTCATTAAGCGTTTTTTATTAAATTATATAAAGCCATTTTGATAAAAGTGAAGTTATCAACATAAACGCTTTTTAATTTTCACACAACTTGTTAAATCTTGTTAGTTGTTTTCGTTTAATTTATTAATTTGACTATTAAAATTAAAAAGAGTATAAAAAGTCAGGATAGGTGAACATCATCTAGTCTACCCAATAATAAATAAGAAAAAAAAAATTGAAATTGTTGTATGAATTTTTAATTGAAACTTAAAAGAAAACAAAACATTAGCCCTATTCGATTCTCTGTGTTATTTGTGCTCTCATCTCTCATACAGTAGCAGCCCTTCGTCCGAGTCCTCCCCAGCTATCTTCGGTAAGCATTGGTCCTTTAGCTACTCATTCTTCCTCACTAGCTTTCGCGTATGTAGAAACTGCTGCTTAATTTTGAATTTTTTCCATCTGAAATTTAAATTTCTAGCTGAATGCCCATTCGATTAGCCGTTTTAGGGTTCCTTTTCTGTTCAATTCATGAGTTGTTTCATCTATTTACACAGCCTTTTTAAATCCCACAATTTGTTTTCTGTGATGGGAATTGGGCAAAATCGCAAGCGCCCAGAAGTTGAAAGAGTAATTAGAAATTAAAAAAGGAAAAAAATATGGATTTTTGTGGGTTTTTCTGTTTTTGTACTTATGGGGCAATGAACTGCTTTTCATTGATGATGAACTTGCACATTTTCTTGAAATTACATTCTTTGTTAGTTCGTAATCTGATGAATTGTTTACAAAAGTAAACCACTTTTATTATTTGGCGTAAGTTTCATGATTTGTGAATATAAAAACCCTGCAATTTGATGAAATTGTTGAAATTATGCAGATTTGCATATTGGGTTGGTCTTGAAATTTTCGAATTTGTAGTAGCGTTATCAGTTGATGCAGGAGCATCTAAGGGGCTCTCGAAGCTAAAGTGAGTCCGCTAGCCAGATAGTTGGCTAGGGTTGTAGTTAATTTGGGAGTTTTAGAGCCCGTTTGGTACTTTATTTGAATTCAAGGTTTTAAACTCAAAAAATGTTTATCAAATTCCAACTCAAAAACTTGTTTGGTAAATGGTAAGCCTGTTTTGCGAAGCTTGAATAAAAAATTAACTCAAAAACTAGCCTAAAATCTAAGAACAACAAATGTATGTTAACTTGGTGTCGAGACCAACAACACCAAACTTCGACTGAAAGTAACCGCCGGTGATGTTGCCGTGATTTGTTAATACTTACACTTTTTAGTTGCAATCTTATGAGAAGAATACCTTACTAAGCTTTCATATCTTTGAATTTCTTTGGACATTGCCGACAATTATTTGACTGGTTCACTGCCAAGTGAACTAGGTGATTTGGTACATCTCGCAATGCTAAATATATCAAACAAGTTATCAGTGAAATCTCCACCAGCCTAGGCAGATGTGATAGTTTGGAGCCCTTTTACTTGGAACACAATAAATTTGAAGGATAAATTCCCCACATATATTTCTTTACATCAGTTTTGAGTGCCTAACTGGATTTGGGAGAAGAGACAGGGTGGGGTGGCGCTGTGGTGGACCAGTGGGAGTCGAAAAGAGGGGGAAGAGACAAGGGAGAAGAGAGGGAGGCAATTTAGAAATTTAACATGGATTAATGGTTAAATTTGTAAGAATTGTAAAAGGTATGTTGGCTATTCCACATCGGTGGGGAAGGAAAAAAGAATGAGTTTAAATATGATTACCTCGCTCTGACTAATACCGGGATCTTTTATGACAAAACCCCATACATGATGGATTGTACAGGTAGTAATTACCAAATTGGAAATAATACCATTGTTATTGAAGTGGGGGCCTCGGCCCCGTAGACCTGTTCCAAAAAGGTAGGATAAAATTTCCTTTTTCGTAATTTTCTCTTCCAACAAAATTAAGATTCTACTCCTCTCTATCAGCATTTAGATGTGTAGGTTGCCGGTGCTGGAGTGGAAGACGATGCAGCATCTAGATTCATGACATGTTGGCCGCAGCACAAATCTGTTGCAGCCTCGTGTTGCCGTGTTTTGTCAATTAGGCCCTCATTGTAGTCGCCATGAACATCTTCTGTAAGAAACCCATCAATGAAGATTTGCGCTTTCTTAATCTGTTGCTCAATTTTTGTTTTTAATTAATCTTGTTAAGGGATTAAGCTGACATTCAATTATTGAAGGTCTTTTGATTTTCATTAGATTAAATTACGGGTTTAATTCGTATTTTCTTAATTTGTTCATATGGGTTTGCATTTTCATTCACGAGGCTCTTCGGGAAAGCAAGAGAGAAATGGTTAATGCTACCCTCTGGGTTAAGTTGTATGTTGAAGCTGGATGTCTCAACGCTGACGATGGCATGCAAAATAATATAACCAAGTGTGAGTGCAATTTTATATGTTTTCTTGTGCTTTCTTTCGATTGTTGGTTAGATATTTGAGTGTTGAGACCCTCCTAGGCCCTTATCAGTTTTATATCGACAAAGTTTTATAATGCTATAACAATTATGCTCATTTATTTGTTAAAGCTGTTATCTTTCACAATTTACTAGAAATAATTGGAATGAGTTGATTACTTGATAGTCTTCTTTTTCTTCATTTGAATTCAGTTCTCCGTGAAAAAAAAAAAAATGTGGACATCGGTTAAAGGCCACTGCTCTTACTTACGCTCCTTTATACCACAGCAGTGTGATTATAATTTGATTTTTTGTTTTACAGTTTGTCTACAATTGGCTAATAATTTTTAGCGTTGATTTTACTAATGAGCATGTTTTTCTATCCTTTCTTTTGGTATGATGATGTTCCCCTGCTTTGAGTTTTCCCCATTTCTCATATGTTTTTGGTCTGGACTCCAAACGTGATGGTGAAAGCAAAGAAATTAAAGGAATGCTTGGTTTCAGTGATGTAGATTGGACTCTCCTGCTGTGCAATATCACCAAGGGAGCGGAAGCTTATGAATGTGGTTGTCGGAAAACGAGTGCAATTAGAGACTCGTACCTCAGGGTTTTAGAGGACTAAAGAAGGACAAAGATATGCTGCTTGTGGTTTTTCTTTTCTTGTTTCTTTGCCTCTCTCTCTCTGTCTTCGCTTTGAACTTTGCCTCGTTTATATTAGTACATGACTTAAAGCTTTCAAAATATTGTTTGTGTAGTGTGGAGTTATTTGTACATGACTTTGAACTTTGCCTCGTTTATATTAGTACATGACTTAAAGCTTTCAAATTATTGTTTGTGTGGTGTGGAGCTATTTGTAAAAATCTTGCCGGAAATTTCAACACGGTCGACGGAAAAAAATGTTCCACACCATTTACAAATAAATTCTATCCACGAGTAACAAGCCAAACAATTATATCCAAGGGTTCCTCGAACCAAATCAAATCTTGGTCCACTAAAAGACCATACCTTGCCAATCTATGCGCAATGATAACACATTTGAAATATGAACGGATTAAAAATTAAACATTATGAAATCAGTTACAACAGACGAGGAAGGCTCGGGTCAAACAGCATCATCTCTAACAATAGGCTATATCAATTATAGATTAATCCCCCTCTAGATATAAGGATAATACTTGCACTCTCCTATGGGGATGAGCTCATTTTTCCAATTGCAAATAATGCAAGGTAGGAATTTCATAATCGGAATCATTCAATTTATTAATCTTCATTTGAAGATCATCCCTATCACTTATTTGTTTGATTTTTAATTGAGATGATCTTCAAAAGAAGATTAAGAGATTGAACGGTTTCGATTATGAAAATTTTCGACAAAGATACATTATTTGGAAGTGAAAGAATGAGTTCAACCCTCGGTAGGAATGCAAGCATCAAACTAGATGTATTATGCATATGGAAATGGTGGATGATCTTGAAGGTTTCAGGTCCTCATTACTGTAGGTAATTCCCATATGTAAGTTCCGAATATAACTTTGTGCGTTATCTTATATCTTATATCTTGGACTTGGAGTCATTATACGCGTGATCAACAAAGTCTCTAAACTTTTGAGAAATGACTCAGGATTAAACATTTAAATTTTTGAGGAACGACAATTTCTTAGTAAGTAGGGAAAAGACTTCAAAGTCAACACGTCAATTAGTTCAGCTAATATGAAATCTCAAAATTTCAATTTCCACAATGTGACTTAATTAAAGTTTGAATCATCGGTTTTTACATATATTTTCTCAAGTTTCAGGTCCTCAGGATACCCTCGACTATTTCTTTTGTTTAGTATTTACCAATTCAACAGTGTCCAACCACTTAGGACTATGGTCTAGTGACATTCCTCTTCATTTTTAAGTGTGAGGTCTTATGTTCGATTCTAGCCAAAATCGAATTTGAACCACTTTATTGCTAGCTCATTATGAGGCTTAGCCCACTTCCTTTCCCTTAGTGTAAATAATATTATGTGTTCAAAAAAAAGAAACAAAATCAACAATATCCTTTACACGATTCCCATTTTCTGAACAACGAATGACAAGAATTTAAACTTTTGCATATATTTTAATTTGAGCAAAAAACTTACATGACAGAGCATTATTAATTTGAAATACTGCACACAGTAGCGTCCCAAATCAAGTAATATATCTCATAGATATTAGGATGGGAAAGGCACCCAAGAGCACTAAGGTAGTGGCCTAGTGGGGTGTGAGTGCAGCGACCCATTGTCTCCGCTTTCTTCCACTTCGCTATGTTTTTCCACTTGCCCCTGCCGCAAGTGCTGCATACCAAACCACACTTTACCAAGAAAAACATGAACATGAATTCATAATTAATGGAGAATAAGTGACTAATTTTATTATGCATTCACTTCCACTACTTCTCATGAAAATTTCCGAGTTGATGATTGCTTTATTCCAAGTCCTCGGCCGCCCCTTTTTGAATATGGCTCGCTTAGTGCTAGACTTGGATTGGGTTGGTTAACTCGTAAAACTCAAGGTAAATTAAGGGAAAAGTCTTTTCTCTTACAAGAGGTTTTTTGTTCGAATCTCAAAAGTGACTTAGCTAGTAAAAAAATATATCACATTTGTTTGAAAAACTTATGGTGAACTACTAAAAAGGTACTTCAGGCACATGACTTATTTTGGATGGAAAATTTAAAGGAATTAGAGTGAGATGACAAATTAATGATTTTCAAAACTTAATAGAGTAATGCTACACGTATCACATTTTGCATACCATCTATCTAATATAGGTAGGACCCAGCAATCATGTGTTAGGATTTTTGCTCGTCAAAGTTAATGTCCTATTTTATTTAGGATTGTATTAGGGAAATTAATGGTGCACCGATTCTTCTCCTAAAAGGACTAGGGAATAATCAAAGTTTCCTTGTACAATTAGATTGGAAATCCTAGAAGATATCTTGGAAAAGGAAAGAAAGTGTACTTTCATATTGCATATAGAACAGGAAACTTAATATAAAAAAAGGGGCATGTAAACCACACCTTATATTTATAAACAGGGTGCGGCAACCACTGGAAAGCCAAAAACAGCCGACGGCATAGGAGAGAAAAGCTAGAAATGGCCGCTGGTAAAGGAGAGAAAGCTAGAAATAGCCGCTGGTAAGGGAAAGAAAAGCTAGAAACAGCTGCTGGCAACTGAGAAAAGCTAGAAAAGGGGAAAAAAGAGAGAATGGCTGGAAAGAGAGAGATTAGTTCTAGGTTTGCAAAAGTATTGTATACTCTATTATTAATACAAAAAAAAAAAATCGTGATTTCTCTACCCAGGAAAGTAGGCAAAAGTTTTGCCGAACCAATATAAATCTTATGTGTTTCTAGTTTACTTTATTTTGCTAAGTTTTAGTGTATTGCCAGATACATGAAAGAGTAAGATCTAGAGGGAGTCAGAATTTTAACATTATGTGGATCTCATCTTTATCAGAGAGGTGGTACAAATATGATATGATAAATATGATAAAAATAATATTTTTAAACTTAATACAACAAATCACTTAAAATTTTAATTCATATAACAAATTAAAAAAGACGTATAAGTTTTTATCACATTTCAAATAAGTTCTTATTTATTTGAGATACCATACATAGTTATATTTCAGATACCGCCAAGTGCTTCTCTTTGGCAGGCAACAATCTTATCCTCTTTCTTATTTTCAATTCAAAATTTTAGTAAGCTGCGAATGTGACCCGTGGTCATCTGCTTTCTTCTACAATGTGCAGGGGAGACTTCCAATCTCATAATTCCAAAGTGTTAACTTATCTCAATTGCCACGAGTTTAATGGGTAGTTATTGGGTTGTAACTCTGCCATTTTTCTACATATTACATATATATTGCTGGTTTGGTGTCTAGAATTTATTGAATTATATACTTATTACAAAATTTAAAGTACATTGAAAAGAATTGTATTTCAAAAGGACAAAATTAGTACCGGAGAAAAAGTGGGTGCAACTGGTTTATTAGTACCAAACAATGTCATTTTTATCTCCATTAATTATCACCCTAGACCTAATAAGTTGTGTATTATGTTCGGTCTGACTCTTCCATTTTTTTTCCTAAATATAAGACAGGCGGCAAAGGAAAAGATGTTTGCCACTTAGTAATACTCTTTAATGATATTTCTTGTACAAAGTCTTAAATTCGAATCTCACGAGTGACAAGTTAGCAACCAATTATTCTCCCTTTCTTAGTGTGTAAATAAATTGTTGTATATAAAATAAAATAAAAATTGAGAGAAATGATAGTTTTAGTAGGTTAAATTGTTCAATATTCAAGGGAGAGGAAGATCGAACTTGCATCAAGGTGTTTAAGTATTATTACTATCCGCCAGTGAATTTAAGAGAAAATGTGAGTGGATTTGACCCCAACAATAACATTTTTCTCTCCACTAATTACCATTGATTACCGCTCTTGGTTTTTCTTACTCACCTTACTCTGCCCTAATATATCTCTCTCTCTCTGTTAAAAGGACTAGAAACAGTAGTGGAGAAAAAGTGAGAGCATTTGGTGTATTAGTACCAAACAATGTCATATTCGTCTCCACTAATTATCACTCTAGATCCCATATATTGTGGGCATACGTTGATCTAACTCTTCCATTATTCCTTTAAGTATAAGACACGGCGGTAATGGAAAAGGTGTTTGTCACTTAGTAATATTGTTCAGTGATATTTTTCTTATAAAATGTCTTAGGCTCAAATTTTAGGAGTAACGAGCTCACGACCAATTTATTCACTCCCCTTTAGTGTGTAAATATATTGTTGTTTTTTTTTTTCAACAAACGATAGCATTAATGAATTAAATTGTTAAATATTAGAGGAAGAAGGGAATCGGTAGAGATCGAACTCGTACAATGACGCATAGACATTATTGTCTTCTAACACTGAAATTAAGGGAGAATGTGAGTGCACTTGACCGCGCCAATGACAATTTTCACTCCACTAATTATCGATTACCACTCTTGCTTTTGCTTCCTCTCCTTACTCTGCCCTCGTATTTAAACCCCATCTCTCCTTGTCTCTACGTATTCTTTTGCTTTCCCTCTCCAGTTGATGGTTCACAAAACCACCCACACCTCCATTTCTAGTTTTTGCCTTCAAAACCTTTTATTCTCCTTCAAAATTTATCAATCTTTTTTTTTTTTTTTTCCTGTAGAACTGCAATTAATTGTGACGAAGAGGCAACAATTATGTCACCATCCCCTTATTCGTAACCGCACGGTGAGTAAAGCGATTAGTGACGGGGTAGGCACCCAAAAACGTTTAAGTGTAGCGGCCGAAGGTCACAAAAACAAAAAGGTGACTACTGCTTGTTTTGTGTTTGTTTTGTTTGTTTGATATTTTTGTTTTGTATGTTTGATATTTTTGTTTTGTATGTATGATTTGGAAGAACTTCGGAAGACATGTTGAGTGCTCTTTCATGATATTGTTTAAACGATTTTCATGATGCCATTCAACACGTAATCCGCCTCTCTTTCATATACATTAAGCTTCAACTTTATATGAATCTTATGAATCATTTTTGTGAGTAATTAAATAAAATATGATTCTTTCTGAGAAAATGAGGTCCCCAAATCAATGGAGATTACCAAATATGAAGACTTGATATAAGTTTAAGATAAAAGGTATGAATTGAGTTGTACAAATATAACTAATACATGCGTCTCCACCTGTTGGTTAAGATTGTCATAACAAAGTTTATCCAGTATATTAAGACAAAAACAAAACACTCTAACAGATAATTTCTAGCATAATATTTATGTAGAGAAAGTTACCGAAAGGCCGATTTTATAGGTTTTGCTTGCTTTTAGCAACCCAACAACAAAAAAAGAATCATTGTCCAGAGCCAAAAACTCAATAAAAACGCAAGGAATGAATAACCCATTAAGAAAAAAAATAACAAAGAAAGCCATTAGGTTACCATAGTTAAGCGTTCTCATTTGCCTTGAAATGGGGTACCACCTTAGACACAAGGCCGACCCAGAAAATATTTTATGGGTGGGCTAGCTAAAAAAATTTTCCTAAAATCAAAATTTTTTTTTTTAACATTTTTTTGGTTTTTGCCACATTCGTATTCTATGCAAAAATTTAAGTTTAACTTTTGTATTTATATACTTAAAATTTTCCTGGCAGGAATTCAATAATCTTCGCAATTACAAACTAACAAAATTACAATGAATTATCAAATTTCACATATATTTAGATACAGGGAGTTTTAACGAAAAACCCGCGGTACTGTTCACTTTAACGAAAAATCACATTTTACACTAAAAAGTCAATCCTGGTACTATTCACTTTACCCTTTATTTTATTCTTATCATTAAAACTTAAAGTTTCAAGCCTTTTTCATTAATTTTCCTTTAGATTTAAACACAAGAAGAAGATGGAAAACTTGCTATCTCAATTACAATCACACAACTAGATCACAAAGCAAAACACTGAAAGTAGAAGTAAAGATAATATTAAAAAATTGGTTAAAACTAATATAAACCCCACTATATCAAAATAGAATAATCTTGAACAAAATGACATCACAATTTTCATGGTAATTTTTATATTTTTAGTTGTGCTAAATATTCATTGGGCTAGTTTCATTAAAAATAATTCTTCTTACACATTTTTTTGTCTATTATATCTACACACTAAAGTTTATATACATATTGCTACAAAACCTCCCTGAGCTACAGCTCACCGTAGCCCTTAGTGTGGCTACACCATTGCTTAGACACATATCCAAACTAGAGACAACGGCTCGTATTCCACCAATGCACTGACTTATTAAACACAAAATACACAGCCCCTAGATCCCGTATTACAATTTGGATTTTTCTTACGCTTGCACACAATACAAAAGTAGTACAGTTATTTAAAACAATTACTATGTCTTATTAATTTTTACGCTAATCATACATAAATCACATACATACTCCAAAAACAAAAAACCAAAAAAATGCTGCAAAGGGGAAATTAGAAAATCATATTGAAAACCCCCACCGAAGCACATTAATAATATCACTAATGAATGTGATTCGAGAAACAAACCTTGTTCGAGTGCGACCGATCAGATCTCGCCCTTGCATCGCTGGTTACAACACATCACTTTGTACACAAGATCGCCCCAAAAAAATTTGATAAGTTACCTACTTAATAGATTAATGTAGACAAAAAAATTTGATACATTTTTCTTTTCAAATATGAATTTGGCGTATTTTAATCTAAGAATTGTACAAAGCATACTAAAAAACTACTAAGCTCAGATAAAGGAAAAAATTTCTCCAAAACCCAGAAAGTTAAGGGAAAAAATCGACAAAATGATGAAAAATTTACTAAAACCCAATTCTATTTTTTACAAGATGCTAACTTTGTAAGAAACCAGAGACAAAATGACTTACACTTTTGAGGACTACTACAAGTCTGGGACTTCCCCCCTTTATTTATCATCATTTTCTCATCCAAAACCAATTTTAGAAAACAAACAGTCTGTAAAATTCAAATTCAACCTCATCACAAACAGTTTGTCAACACCCTCAATCCCCTAAAATCCCACCATATTTTCAGACCGACTCTACAAATTCAAAAACCCTCCACATGCAATCACTAAAACCGATTAAATTGGTTCGAAAGAACCGGTTCTCACAACCACTTCAAAAATCAGCAAAAACAAAATCCGGAAATTGAGAGCTGTTCCTCAAAACATTAACTCCCAAAGTTTCAAATTGTTCTGAGCCGATAAACCATTCCAGAACACTAAGAATCACAGATCGGAGGTACTTACTCGTCATAGGATTTAACCAAACCCGAATTGAACCATCAAGGAGAGAGCAACGGCGAGGAATTTTCGAAAGAGAGAGGGGGGGCTTTTAGAGAGGAACCAAAAACACCAATCGAGGGCCTTTTTTTTGTTGGTTGGTCGTTGTCGCCAGCTGAGTCGAGGAGAAGAGTGAGAAGGGAGAACGAAGAAACAGAAAATATAAAATAAATACAGTACATATATGATGGGTATAACTATGTCAGGACATAATAGGAATAAGAGCAAAACTGGGAGGGTAATATCGGTAGAAAACTGGGAGGGTAATTTCAAAAGATTTCAGCTTTAGTGTATATTAAATTTCCCTTTCAAGATTTTCTCTTTTTTTTCTTTTACCGAGCACTACAAATTAAGCAGCAGTTCATGATTTGGGCAAAAGTAGAAACCAATGGAAGTGAGACTTCAACTGTCAAAAGATATTCTTTATAAACTTTTCTTTCTAAATATTACTTGTGAGCGATCGCATCGATCAGACTCTTGTGTGGCCAAAAGATTAATGTTGAATTGACAAGGTTCCCCTCCCATTTGAAAAATCTCCTCCATTCCTTGTAAGATGTACGGCATGACGGAGCTCTATTATTTTTTGTCGTTACAGTTGCCATCTCATTTTTGGTAAAAATATTGAATCAGGTTTTTCTTCTATGTGGTCGCATTTCTTCTCCTTTATGCATTTGTGCAAATTCAATATCGTTAATTAACCTGTTTTTCTCTCTGTCTTAGAACAATGATGGAGCATTCACGTACCAACCGTAAGCTGGTTTTGTTCAAATTCCTGCATGGGTTCATTCTTTTATGCATGAGCACATGCCTCGAATCTACAGCACTTCGCAGCCTTACTCTGCTTGGAAATGAATCTGATCGCTTGGCTCTTCTAGACTTGAAGAAAAGAATAACAGTTGATCCTTTCAATGTCATGAGCTCGTGGAATCATTCCATCCATTTCTGCAATTGGGTTGGAGTTTCATGCCACCGTTCCACCAAAAGAGTCTTGATGTTGAACCTGAAATCAAAAAAGTTGGTAGGCTCCATTTCACCTTCCGTTGGAAATCTTACTTATCTTACTGGAATCAATTTGAGAGACAACAAGTTTCATGGGGAAATTCCTCCAGAAATGGGTCGTCTACAAAGCCTACAATATCTCAACCTCTCTCATAATTCCTTTGGTGGGAAAATTCCAACTAATTTGTCGCAATGCATACAACTAAAATTGCTTAATCTACAAGCCAATCGGATGATGGGGTCCATTCCAAACCAACTCAGTTCATTGTTGAATTTGAAATATCTACGGCTTGATGGTAACAATCTCACTGGAACTATCCCACCTTGGATAGGAAACTTTTCTTTGTTGAGTAGTCTAATACTTGGCAAGAACAATTTTCAAGGAAGCATACCCAATGAGCTTGGGCATATAACAGGCTTGGAGGAGTTCGTAGTGCAGATGAATGATCTATCTGGTATGATCCCATCCCCAATCTATAATATTTCTTCCATATCCACTTTTAGTGTTGCTGTCAACCAGTTGCATGGAGAGCTACCACCAAATCTCGGCACTATGCTTCCTAATCTCGTACAACTTTACTGTGCTGTGAACAAATTCACAGGAAATATTCCTACGTCATTGTCAAATGCGTCAAGACTTCAGATGCTTGAACTTTCTCAAAATGGCTTCTCTGGGACAGTCCCTGGTGAGAGTCTAGGAAACTTGCGTAGCTTAGTTTGGCTAAACATTTATGGCAATCAGTTAGGAAATAGAAGAGTTGGTGACTTGAATTTTCTTAGTTTCTTGGCTAATTGCACTAGTTTGGAGCATTTGAGTCTTTTCTATAATAATTTTGGAGGAGAACTTCCGGGATTCATAGCCAACCTTTCGACCCAACTTACTGTTCTTAATCTGGGGGAAAATTTTATACATGGAAACCTTCCTAAGGGAACTGGAAACCTTATAAGCCTGACTGCTTTAGTATTAGAATATAACCATTTGAGTGGCAGTGTCCCGCATGAAATTGGGAAACTAGAGAAGTTAAAGGAATTGTATTTGGATGGTAACCAATTTTCTGGGTCAATCCCGTCATCTTTTGGGAACATGACTTCATTGTTATACTTGTACATGGACTCAAACAAGTTTGAGGGCAGTATACCTCCAAGTCTTGGAAACTGCCGATACCTATTAGATCTTAACCTTTCCAGTAACAACCTTACGGGCACCATACCTAAAATGCTTATGGAGCTTTCAACCCTTTCAAGTTCTCTAGACCTGTCTGACAATTATTTGACTGGTCCGATGCCCTTTGAGGTGGGTGATTTAGTGCATCTCACAGAGCTAAATTTATTAAGAAACAATTTATTAGGTGAAATCCCGAGCACCCTCGGCAGTTGTACTAGTTTGGAGCGCTTGTGTTTGCAAGGTAATAAGTTTGAAGGAACAATTCCTCAATCTCTTGCGAATTTGAAAGGCTTGGAAAAACTTGATATTTCAAGCAACAACTTGTCTGGGCCAATTCCTAAATTCATAGGCAGGCTTGGTGCTCTCAAGTATCTCAATCTTTCGTATAATGATTTTGAGGGCGAGCTGCCTAAAGATGGTATTTTTGCAAATGTTAGTGGTGTTTCTGTTCTTGGAAATCATAGGCTCTGTGGTGGCATCCCACAATTACATCTACCTTCATGCCCCCCAAAAAAACACCATTCATCTCATGGACTACATTCCCCAAAAGTAGTCATCCCCATAGCCTGTGTACTTGGAATCATAATTGCTCTATCATGCTTTTGTGGTGCTTGTTCAATGCTGAAAAGGTCAAAAGATAGACTTGCAACTTCATGTTCTTATAAGGATTGGAAATCAAGTGTCTCCTACTCACAACTCGTTGAATCAACTAATGGGTTTTCTGCAGATAATCTTATTGGTTTGGGAAGTTTTGGTTCTGTTTATAAAGGGGTAATTCCTAGTGATGGAACAATAGTTGCTGTTAAGGTACTAAACCTTCAACAACAAGGAGCTTCCAAGAGTTTCATAGATGAATGCAAAGCTTTAAGGAGTATAAGGCACCGTAATCTTCTCAAGATCATAACTGCATGCTCGAGCATTGATAACCAGGGCAAGGACTTCAAAAGTCTAGTTTTCGAGTTCATGGAAAATGGAAGTCTAGACTCAATGTTGTATCCAAGATATGAGGAGGAATCTCCAAGTAAAAGAATGAGTTTTATGCAAAGATTGAACATCGCCATTGATGTTGCTTCTGCGTTAGATTATCTTCACCACCATTGTGAAACAGCCATTGTTCATTGTGATCTAAAGCCGAGCAACGTACTTCTTGATGAAGATATGGTAGCCCATGTTGGGGATTTTGGTTTGGCAAGGTTCCTCTTCGAAACATCAAATGATCCCTCCTTTAGTCAAACAATGTCATCTCAGCTAAAGGGTTCTATAGGTTACATTCCTCCAGGTATGAGTTTTTGTCATTCTAACTTCCTTTTTATGTTCTTAGTAATTTATTACAAAAAAAAAAAAAAACAACTAATTAATCTCTATTTATGAAAAATACATTACTGCCTCTTTTTTTGTTGGAACATAAGTAACATATAAATATAAAGAATTTATTGTTCTAATAGTCAATTGCATATGACATATTGTATGTATGTCCTGGCAGAGTACGGCACAGGAGGCCAAGTTTCCATACTTGGAGATGTTTACAGCTATGGAATACTATTGCTGGAAATGTTCACAGGAAAAAGACCTACCAGTGACATGTTTAAAGGCGATCTAAGCATTTACCAATTTGTAGCCATGGCTTTGCCTGACCATGTCATGGACATTGTTGACCATTCAATTATCCTTGACCTCGAAACAGATGGTGATGTCAACAATGACATAGTGCGAGAACGAACTCCATCCAGACGTAACAATGGTGGCCCGATGAAAGCAAAGAAATTAAAGGAATGCTTGGTTTCAGTGATGCAGATAGGACTCTCTTGCTGTGCAATGTCACCAAGGGAGCGGATGCTGATGGACACGGTTGTCAGAAAAATGAGTGCAATCAGAGACTCGTACCTCAAGGTTTAGGAAGACTTGAGAACGACAAAGCATGCTGCTCAAAGGAGAAAGGACATGATCACTCATCAATAATATTTTCCTCTCTCTACTCACCAAAATTTTCTTTCTAGTTTTACTTTCTTTCTCTTGCTATTGCTTGGAATTTTGTCTCGTTGATGTTTGTGGTGTGTTTTACTTATATGACTTGAAGCTTTCGAATTTTAATTTGTGTGGTGCTTTTTAGAATTTTAATGGTTAGTGGTTTTGGGGGATCAATTTTTTTTTATGATCTTTGTTGAATGGCAAACTCTGCAAAAAGTAGTCATAAACTGCTATCATCTTTGATAGAATTTGCAAACGGTGTTAGGAGTGTGAAAGAGAAGGTGGATAGTAACAACACTGCTAGTTACATTTTTCTTTAATCTTGGTATTTGTTGTTATCGGAGCTCTAAAAATGTTATTTTCCCATATTCATAAGTGAAAACATAAAATAATTAACAAAAAAAAATAAAAAGGTGAAAACATAAAACAAATTTTCACTTGTAAAAGAGAGAAGCAGGAAGTTGCGTGATGGTGAGAGCTTAACATTAAGTTCTTTCTCTCACTCATCTTCCTCTCTTATCTCATCCGATCCTCTCTTCTTTCTCTTTCCTTCAAAAATCTCTTACTTTTTTTTCCTTCTCTCCTCTTTCTCCCTCTCCTGCGACCCCTTCTTTTTAGATCTCTTTGTCTAGTTTAAGTCGTAAGATTTAAAATTTTTAAATTGCAAACCAATCAAGTTTTTGATTCTTAAAGAAAATTGTTTTCAAGAAATGTTCTTAAGAAATGTTTTGAGGAATGATAAAAATTTTCAAATAGGATACCAACTAATTAATCTCTATTATAAATGTTTTGAGGAATGATAAAAATTGCAAACCAACTAATTAATCTCTATTTATGAAAAATATGCGACTACCTCTTTTTTCTTGGAAAATAAGTTACGTAAAAATCTGAACAAGATATTGTTCTAATAGTCAACTACATACAACATCTTATTGTATGTATGTCTTGCTAGAATACGGCAAGGGAGGCCAAGTTTCCATACCTGGAGATGTTTAAAGCGATTCGATACTGTTGCTGGAAATGTTCATAGGAAAAAAAAACCTACTAATGACATGTTCAATGGTGGCCTTAGCATTTACCAATTCGTAGCGATGGCTTTGCCTGACCATGTCATGGACGTTATTCACCCTTCAATTGTCCTCGACCTCGAAGCAGATGATGATGTCAACGATGACATAATGCGAGAATAAACTCCATCCAGACGTAACAATCGTGATCCGGTGAAAGCAAAGAAATTAAAGAAATGTTTGGTTTCAGTGATACAGATATGACTCTCTTGCGGTGCAAAGTCACAAGGGGAGCAGATGCTGATGGAAGTGGTTGTCAGAAAAATAAGCGCAATTAGAGACTCATACCTTAAAGTTTAAAAAGACTTGAGAAGGACAAAGCATGCTTCTCAAAGGAGAAAGGACATGATCACTCATCAATAATATTTTCCATTCTGTACACACCAAGGTTTTCTTTCTGTTTTTGTTTTCTTTTTCCTGCTATTGCTTTGAATTTTGTCTCATTGATGTTTGTGGTTTGTTAATTATACGACTTGAAGCTTTCGAATTCTTTATTTATGTGGTGCATTTAGAAGTTTAATTATTGGTGGGTTTTGTTGGACAAAAAAAAATTGTGTTCTTTGTTGAATGGTTTACTCTGCAAAAGTAGTCACAAACCGCTAGCAGCTTTGATAGAATTTGCAAATGGTGAGATAGGAGTGTGAGAGAAGGTGGATGAGTAACAACATTGCTAGTTACATTTTTCTTTAATCTCAATATTTGTTGTTATCGGTGCTCTAAAAAGTTATTTTGCACTATTCATAAATGGAAACATAAAACAGATTTTCACTTGAAAATGTGCGGATGAAATTTTTGGAGTATCAATACCTTATTGTAGATGAGAGAAGCTGAAACTTGAGTGATGGTGAGAGCTTAACATTAATGTTTAGTGCGAGGGGTCTGGAGTGAAAGGGACTTATAGCTCCAAAGGAGCATTTTTTTTTTCTGTTGTAGTTGAAGTCCTAGGAGCGATTTCCCACTCTATAAAATCACTTGTATAAAATAAAACATTAAATTTAATATGAAAATTGCTAAAATTTCGTATAATATGTTTTGTTAGTAAAGAACGGAATGAATTTTTTTTAAGTGCTGTTAACAACTCTCAAAATATTTAGCATTGTTACTTAACTTCATAATTAGTAATTTCGCGTATAATCTACGTATTATACACTACGTACATAATGTTTTCAAATTCATTTTATGTATGTGTATTAATGATTAGTTAGATTGTACGTTTTTTTTTTAAACTCCAACGTACGATACATGGCACGTGCGTATGTACTTTCATGTTTAAAACACATTATTTTCACATATTTTTCAATAATGCATATAAAATTCACACATTCAACCTGTTTGTGAACATATTATTGAATGAATAAATATTAAAATCTAAAAAATAATGACGGAATTTTGCAAATTATTATTTTAACAAAGTTATACAGTTACGTGATTTCACATAACATACCAGTTCCTTATTTTACAAACTATGCTTAACTTTTGGGCTTTTTTCTATTTTTCGTTTCTGCTTTCATTTTAGTTTTTGAGTCTACCAAAACGTGTTAATTTACACTCGGAAAAAGATCCTTGTCTGATTCTTTGTCTAGAGATTCTAGGAATTCTGTGATCGTAATCATTTACGTACATCGTGCGGTCATAAATTATTTTAAAATTTAAAATTTAAAATTAAATATAAATAGTACATAACGAAAAATGACTGCACGACGTACAATGAACGGTCACGATCGCAAGATCCCTAGGATCTCCAGAAAAAGGATCTGGTGAGAATCCTTTTCCTTACCCTCCCACCCTAAAAATCAAAATTTAGAAAATTAAGGTAAAAGGCCTCACAAACTTATTTCTATCCAAATAAATATGAGAGTCTTAACGAAACACTCATAATATTGTTCTCTTTTAATTTTAAGAATATTTTTACTCTAAAAAGTCACTCCTAGTGTTATTCACTTACAACACCTGTTTGTCATTTTGATTAAAACTCAAAGTTTTCAAGTCATTTTCATTAGTTTTCCTAAATATTTAATGAACTTTTTTTAATCATAAGGACAATTGCTTAATTTATGAAGAAATAATTGCCGATACACCAAACTTCAACTTAGTTAAGATACTGATACTGCATGCAAACTACTCATTTACGGTACTATCACCACTGCTCTCTTGTTTTTGTTCTTATTATTTTGGCTTTTTAATCAAAATGGTTCCTGAGATTTGCATAACTTCTTACTTTGATCACTGAGATTGTCCATCATCAGTCATTTTGATTATTTCGTGAAAAAACTCCATTAAATAAGAATAAAATGACCAAAATACCTTTAATTTTTGTTAAATCGTTTTGGCCCATTGTTTATAAAATTGAGGATATATTTATCATTTTAATTCTTATTTAACATAATTTTGCATGGAATACCAAATGATTGATAGTAGAGAATCTCAGAGACCACTTCTATTGATTTCAAAACTCAATGACCAAAGTGATGTGTTATGCAAATTTCAATGACAATTTTGATTAAAAAGCCGATTATTTATAGTTGTTCATTAAGTGTTTCAAATTATATAAAGCCATTTTTATAAAAGAAAAGTTATAAACATAAACTCTTTTTAATTTTCACACACTATTTTAAATTGTATCTGTTATTTTCGTTTGACTTATCAATATAACTATAAAAAAAATTACAAGAGTGGTGTGAAAATCATTTACTCAATTAATAAATAAGAAAAAAAAATCGAAATTGTTGTACGCATTTTTAACTGAAATTTAAAAGGAAAAAGAAAACAAAACATTAGCCCCATTCGATTCTCTCTCAGTAAGCCGAGCCCTACATCCCCAATCGCGCCAATCCCCCATTTGTGCTCTCATCTCTCATACAGTCTTCATCCGAGTCCTCTCCAGCTATCTTCGGTAAGCATTGGTCCTTTAGCTATTCGTTCTTCCTCTCTAGCTTTCGCGTATGTAGAAACTGCTGCTTAATTTTGAATTTTTTTCCATCTGAAATTCAAATTTCTAGCCGAATACGCATTCGATTACCTGTTTTAGGGTTCCTTTTCTGTTCAATTCATTAATCGTTTCATCTATTTACACAGCCTTTTTAAATTCCACAATTTGTTTTCTGTGATGGGAATTAGGCAATATCGCAAGCGCCCAGAAGTTGAAAGAGTAATTAGAAATAAAAAAAAGGAAAAAAAAATAAGATTTTTTGTGGGGTTTTTATGTTTTTGTACTTATGGGGCAATGAACTGCTTTTCATTGAAGATGAAATTGCACATTTTCTTGAATTTACATTCTTTGTTAGTTCATACTCTGGTGAATTGGTATAACAAAAGTAAACCACTTTTATTGTCTTTGTGCATAGTTGTAAAAGAGTTTGCAAATATTCGTAGCTGATCGATTTAGCATAACTTTCATGGTTTGTGAATATAAGCACCCTGCAATTTGGCATGAAATTGTTGAAATTATGCAGATTTGCAAACTGGGTTAATCTTAAATTTTTGAATTTGTAGTAGCGTTATCAGTTGATGTAGGAGCATCTAAGGCGCTCTCGAAAGCTAAGTGAGTCTGCTAGTCAGATAGCTGGCTAGGGTTCTAGTTAATTTGGGAGTTTTTTATGTTTTGTGTAGTCTTTATTTATAGGATTAGGATTTATTAAGTAGTCGGAATAGGATTAATTTGGTAGTTCCTAGTAGAATAAGGATTTCTTATAAACAAGGATTAGGAATTCTAGGCTGCTGTCCTCTAGTATAAATAGGCTATGAATGTATTCAGTTTTATCAATATAATTTCAGAAACCAGAGCTTCCTCTTGTGTTTCTTGCTATAGGACTCAATTATCTTCGTTCCAAGTTTCCAACTTCAATTATATTGCTCTTTAATCTCTTTTTTGTGTTGTTTAATGTTTGGATACCGTTTCTACTGCTATTTGGCCCTATTCTATCTGTTGGACAGCAGCTTACTTTACCCGGTTGTTGCAGGAACATGGCGAAGCATCATCCTGACCTGATTATGTGCCGGAAGCAACCTGGAATAGCTATTGGAAGGTTGTGTGAGAAGTGTGACGGTAAGTGTGTAATTTGTGACTCTTACGTGCGTCCTTGCACGCTTGTTCGGGTTTGCGATGAG